TGTATTTAGTCCAGTGTCTACAGGGTCTCACTATACAGATTGGACTCATAGTGAGTCTGTTTTCAGCCTCCCAAGCACTGGTGTTATGGTTTGTGTCTAGTTGGCCCTGAAAAGCCTCATGCAGTCATGGGGCAGAGACTTCTTGAGTTTGAGATTAACTCATGATCCACTGGGATTATGGGTGATCCAAGGCTGGAATTATGGGTCTTAGTACTGCTGGGATTATGGGTGTATATACTTCCCCCAGCCTGTGGAAGAGAGCCTGAATGTAATATAAGAGAGACAGAGAGACAGACTTGTGCTCTCTATTGCCATTGTTGCCTGTTGCCATTGTGGTTGTTCCACCGCCATGAACTGGATGCTCTCTGCCCTGTGCTACTCTGCCTTAGAGCCAGACAAGTGTGGACTGAAACCTGCAGCAACTGTGAGCTAAATAAATCTTTCCTTCCTTTTCAGTGTCAGGTATTTGTTCCAGAAACAAGAGAAGAGTAACTGAGACAACTGGGATTACAGGAATATGCAACCATGCCCAGTCTCAATCGCTGTCTCAGCATGCCCCAGGGGTAGGGCCAGCATGCCATGGTCCCTGTCTGCTTAAGCAAGTGCTTTAATCCCTGAGCTATCTGGCCAGCCTTATATTCTAATAATATGGAAAACACAGAAGAATTGGACAGACTTCTAGATGCATATGAATTACCAAAAAATATAAAAAGTCTACACAAATCCATATCAGTCAATGAAATTGAAGATTTCATTAAAAAACTAGCAACAAAGAAAAGCCCAGGCCTGGATGGGTTCTCTGCTGAATTGTACAAGAAATTTAGAGAAGACCTAATGCTACTACTTCTTCAACTCTTTAATGAAACTAATATTCCCAAATTCACTCCTGGAAGCAAGCCTTACCTTGATATCAAAACCAGAGAAGGACCCAACTAAGAAAGAGAATTACAGGCCAATCTCCCTAATGAATATGGATGCAAAAATCCCCAATAAGATATGCTGGCCAACAGAATATAGTATGTCAGCAAGATATTTTTAATTTTATTAACACACAAATGGGCAATGAACAGGCATCACCAAGTTAACTGATGACTATCCTGTGGAAAAAATATTTATGTCATCCAGATTATAGCCATGACCAGATAAGAGTCACCTCAGAGATGCAGGGTTGGTTCAATATTTGAAAATCAATAAGTGTAATACACTATACCAATAGAGCGAAGACTAAAAACCACATGATCATCTCAGTAGATGCAGAGAAAGCATCTGACAAAATCCAACACCCATTCGTGATGAAAACCTACAGGAATTTAGAATACATGGTCTTCATTTCAATCTAACAAAATCCATCTATGATAAACCAATAGCCAACATCATACTAAATGGACAAACACTGAAAGCTTTCATTCTAAAATCATGAACAAGACAAGGATGTCCATTGTCACCACTCTTATTCAATATAGTTCCAGAAACTTTAGCCAGAGCAATTAGATGGGGGGGAGAAATTAAAGAAATAAGGATAGGAAACAAAGAATTTAAACTACCATTATTTGTGGGTTACATGATACTCTACACAAAAGACCCCAAAAAAGCTCCACCAAAAATTTTTAGATTTAATAACCATAGCCAAATTAAAAGTCAACACTCAGAAATCAATAGTATTCCTATACACAAATAACAAACTCACTGAGGAAATCAAACCTTTCACATAGTATCCAATAAAAATGAAATACCTAGAAATCAAACTAACGAAGGAAGCAAAAGACCTTTATATTGAAAAGCACAGTGCTCTGAAAAAGGAGATTAAAGAAGCTATCAGAAGGAGGGGCTGGGGAGATAGCTCAGTGTACTAAGTGCATGCCTGGAAAGTGCAAGTTCCTGAATTTGATCCCTAATACCACCAAAAAAAGAAAATGGAAAAATATCCCTTGCTCTTCAGTAGGAAGAACCAATATAGTGAAAATGGCCATACTTTCAAATTTTTTATGCAGGCTTAATGCAATCTTGATTTTAAAAACATCAATAGCATACCTCATAAAATTAGAGAATACAATCCTAAAATTCATTTGGAACCAAAAGAGACCTAGAATACCAAAGGCAATTCTGGGCAACAAGGCAAGGCAGGTTGCATCACAATCCCTGACTTGAAATTATACTAAAAAAACTGCTGTTTGGTTTGTTTTTTTTTTAAGCAGCATGGTATTGGCAAGATAAAAATAAATCTAAGGATCCAGGGATATAGCTCAGTGGCAGAAGTACCTGCTTGGCAAGCACAAGGTCCCAAGTTCAATTCCCAATACAAAACAAAACAAATAAAAAATACAGATCCAAGGATCAATAGAACAGATTAGACGATGTAGAAACAACTCCAAACACACTCAACCATCTTATCTTTGATAAAGAGGCCAAACATGTTCACTGGAAGAAAGAAAGCCTCTTTAATAAGTTGTGCTAGGAAAACTGGCTCTCCATATACCAAAGACTAAAACTAGACCCATATTGTTCACCATGAATGAAACTAATATAGAAATCGATAAAAGATCTAATAAATATTAAAACAGGAACACTAAATCTTCTGGAAGGGAGAACAGGCAGAACTCCTGAAAACACAAGTGTAGGTAAAGACTTCATGAACAAAACCTGGATTTCATGGGAAATACTACAAAGAATCAGTAACTTGGTCTCGTCCTATTAAAAAGCCTGTTCACAACAACTAAATCACCAACAGAGTGAAAAGAAAGCCTACAGAGTGGAAAAAAAATTTATCGAGTCTTTCCTCAGACAAAAGACAAATATCTAGAATGTATATGGAGAATTGAAAAACATCAGATTCCCCTACCTACCCAAATTTAAAGACCCAGTTCAAAGTGGGGTATCTGAGATGAACAGACACTTCTCAGATGAAGTAGAAATGGCAAGTAAATATATGAAAAATGTTCAACATCACTGGTCATTCAAGAAATGCACTTTGGGCCAGGGATATAGCTCAGCAGCTTAAGTATCTGCCTAGCAAGCACAAGGTCCTGGGTTCAATCCCTGGTACAACAAACAAACAAACAAACAAACAAAATGGATTAAAACAACTGTGAGATTTCTTCTCACTCCAGAAAAAAAATGGCTATGAAGAAATCAACAAAGGCCAGGCATAATGGCACAAACCTGTAATCTCAGCACTCAGGAGGCTGAGGTAGGAGAATCAGTATTGGCCAGCCTGAACTACATAGTGAGACCCTGTTTCAAAAAAAAGCAAGACCCCATGCCTCCCTGGGCATGCTGAGCTAGCAACCAAGTCTGGGCGTGGTGGCACACACCTGTAATCCCAGCACTGGGGAGGCTGAAACAGGGGTATCACTACAAGTCCAAGCTTCATAGTGAGACCCTGTACAGAAAGAAAGAAAAGAGAGAGAGAGAGAGAGAGAGAGAGAGAGAGAGAGAGAGAGAGAAGCAAGCAATAATAAATGCTGGTGGGGATGTTGGGAAAAAGAAAATCTTTTCCACCGGGTGGGAGTGCAGACTGCTGCAACTACTGTGGAGATCAGTGTGGATATTCCTCAAAAAACTAGGCTTAGAGGTCTCACTTGACCCACTATTCCCCTTCTTGGTATCTTCCCAAAAGGATTAAAAGCATCATACCACAATGATATATGCACACCCCTGTTTATAGCAACACAGTCTGTAAGAGTTATGTCTGGAAAACAGCCTGAAGGCCCATCAATCAATGAATGGATTTTAAAAAGTGCTTTTATTTAGTGGAGTACTACTGTCATAAAGAAGGGTAAACGTGAGGTAATTCTAGCTAAATGCATGTACCTTGAGATCATATTCTCATGTAAAGTAAGTCAGCCAAATCAGATACACGTTTAAATACCATATTGTCACTCTGGTGTGAGAAACCAAAAATGTAAATAAAGACCAAAACGTATAATAGATAATGAGAAATGGGAAGAAAATGTTCAAATGAGGAGAACAAGGGAGAGGGAAAGGGGAAAGGAAGAAAGGGACAAGGAAAAAAAAAAAAAAACCGGAGAGAAAACTGGAAACAAACTTTTCTAAATAAGAGTTCCCAGTTACACAGACAAGGGAACCAGCAATGCAATAGTCAACCAAAAGGTGACTGGATGATCGCAGTCCTAGGGTCGGTCAGGCCTGCCTGGGACATAGTTTCAGACTCACCACCAGGTGTGTATGGGTCACACCTGTTGCCCTCAGAACCCAAGGCCAGAGAGAACGACTCCCGGCACAATGCAAAACGGAGGCAACGATGTCGAGCTTTCATCTTGCTTCTAGTTTGGACAGTTGAGGGCCCTTGTGAGGAGCGGTGTTTTTAATAAAAACAGCCTCCAACCCTTGTTCAAGGTCACACGGCAACATGAAGCTGTGCAATGAAAACAGGCACTGTGCGCCTAACCACGGCAGACACGAGCGGCCAGGGAGCGGAGGCCATTCACAGGCCTGAGGCAGGGCCACTGCTAACACGTGCTCCGACCTTCACTGCTCCGGTGGGCTACTTCTGACATTTGTCCCTGGTGCAAAGAAAGGGCTGTGTGGCTGCAAGAGAAAAAGCGGGCATCTCGCTTCGTGCCTGGAAAGGCTGAGTTAGACGAGAGAAAGTACCCCAGGGAGCGTCCAGGGCATTACAAGGCATGTGGCACGGGGAACACGGAGGTGACTGCCGGCTCCGAGGGCCAGCGGCCCCACTGCGCGCCCGGCTCTGCCACCTGGGCTGCCCTGATGTCCAGGTCAGGCATTCTCGGAGTCGCTCTTCGTGGCCCAAGGTCGGCTGGGAGAGCAGAGGAGGCGGCCCCACCCGCAGCCGCACGGTTGGTGCCGAGGACCAGCGAGTTCGGAGACCTAGACGCCAGGCTCCGGCAGACTCGGAGCCCCGGCGCACCTCCCCGGCCGGCCGGCTTCCGGGAAGCCTTTGCCCCGCCCCGCGGCTCCCCCAAGCCCCGCGATTGGTGCGCGGTGCAGCGAGGCCCCCGCGCCGAGCTCACGTGACGGCGTCAGCGTCGCGAGCCGCTTCCTGTTGTCAGTGCCGGGGTCCTGCATCTAGTCGGAGGCTAAGGGGCCGCTGCGGCCGGAGCCCCCGGTCCCGCTCCGCTCCCTTTGGTGAGTTAGGGCCCGGAAAGGCGAGGAGAGCAGAGCAGGGGCGGCGGGGTCTCGGCGCGATCGATCGCGTGATGGCCTTCAGCGCTCGCCGGGATCCCAGACCCCGGGTTGCCTGGAAACAACCTGTCTCGAGCCCCTCCAGCCCTCCCCGCAGACGCCCCTACCCCCACACCCTGTCCTCGGCCTGGGCCCCCGCCTACCGTGCGCCGGTGTGTCCTAAATGCGACTCTCTCCAACCCCTGTTCAGCCTTGTTGCAGCACCGGCCTGGGCCACATCTCTTCACCGTTCCTTACCTCATCCTCACCTTTCAACCCCTCTGGCACGCCTACTCCCCTTTTCTGGCTCCCATGCCTGCTCAGCTCCTCAGTGTCTGCTCATCCCAAAGCGTCCTAACTCTGCCCCCCTTGAAGACCAACCACCAAGGTGGGCACCATGCCGAGTGTCCCTCTTCTGGATACCTGCGATCTCAGGCTTACCCAGTCTTACGCGCATCTCATTCTCAGAGCCTCAGCCCCCAACTTTCTAGCACATCTTGCACACCTACCGTCTTGAAAACACTCTATCCCTGAGTTTTTACTGACTTATCCTCAGTTCTTGCCGCCTTCGTTCTTACTGCCCTCTGCCATTCTTATTACTCCGGGTTTTTCACCTCTGCTGTCTCATGGGAGCTCTGCACCCCAACTCTGTGCCCACTGTTCCTTTGCCTCACCTCCCATTCAGCCTGAGAACATAGGTAGCAGCGAGCCCCTGCCAACCCCCCCACCCAGCTGCCTCTTCACAGCAGGTTGAGGCTCAGAGCCGAGCAGTTAGAGCAGAGCCAGGGGAGTGGGATGTGCAGGCAGGTGGTAAAGCAGTGTGGAGGAGTGGAGATCTCAACTCCCAGGCGTGGATCAGAGGTTTCTCTGGTGACAGGTCCCTTGAACCTGGCCTAAAGGTGGTGGTGGTGGTTGTTCCCATTCATCTTAGCTTGCATATGCAGGCTATTGGAATGGTAGAGGTCATTCAGACTCCTAGAAGGTGAGAGATCCAGCTCACTTCTTTATGGCTAGTATTCTGGCCCTGGAGAACCTCAGGGAGTTGCCACTGCGTGGGCTTGGAAGTGATCACAGAACCATGTTCCTGCATCAGGTGTGTTGTCCTGGCACTTGTGAGGAATCCGCTCCCAGGGCTCTGTGAGAGCTGACTGTAGATCAGCCTCAGGGCTTCACACAGGGGACATGGTGGGTGTCAAAGGTGAGTAAACAGATGCTGCTGAATTTCTTGTTCAATTTGTAGGTAATTGATTGTTGAATTTTAGCCATTTGGATTCCATGAACACAGGCTTTCTCACAAATATATCCTTGCCACAAGGATGGTTTAAAGAGCCCAGAGGACCCTTGTCTTTGCCACTTTAGTCTCTGGTTTTGAGAGATGAGTGAGGTTCTGACTTTAGTGTCTCCCTGGGACAGTGCACCTGTCTGATGACTTTCAGCCTTCTTGGCAGCTTGATTTAGTGGTGGGAGCTCCACAGATGCCCCACCACATCAGAGTGGTGTACCTCAGCTTCATCTATGAAATGGACATATCTGCCTTGAGTTTTATTTTTATTTTACTCATCAAATCAATCAAGGAAAATTTTTTGAGCACCAGTCTGCCAAGTACTGCTCTAGAGTATGTCCCTGGCTTCTGGGAGAATGTTCATAAATTGGATTTGTTTGTAATCCGACAGATTGAGTCTTATACAGTATACCCATGAAAACTCACAACTTGAATGTGTGTAAGTCACAGACTTATTGTATTAGAAATGCAGTAGTGTTATGGTTTGTATGTGTTTGTCCCCCCCAAAGCTTCATGCAGTCATTGAGGCGCAGTTCTACAGTTTGTGATTAATTCATGATCCAAGGGTGGGATTATAGGTCTGAGTACTGCTGGGATTATGGGTGTGAGTGCTACACCCAGTCTGGGGCAGTTAGCTTGAAGGTAACATATGAGAGACAGAGACAAACTTGCTTTCTGTTGCCATTGTTGTTGCTGCTACTCCCTTGTACTTCTCTTTGCCACTGCCATGAAAGGTTGCTGTCTGCCATGTGCCTCTCTGCCTTGGAGCCAGCTGAGTATGGACTGAAACTCCAGTAACCCTGAGCTAAATAAGCCTTTTCTTCCTTCATTTTGAGTGTTGGGTATGTGTCCCAGCAACAAGAGAAGAGTAACTGAAACAAGTGGTAAGTTAGTTGAAGTTCCTGTTTTCATTTTTTGAGTTTGCTTGTTAGACTCCTATAGCAGCTGGGACAGAAACTAGGGTAATAGTTGTTACTGGATGGAAAGATGGAGAGAAGAAAGCAAGATACTAGCATTCACGACCTCACGGTTCTGCCCTCATCCTCTAGTCCCTGGTCTTGGAATCACACCCTGGAAGTTCTCACTCACCCTTCACATTTGATTTGAAGCTGTTGCTCAAAAGCCTTGTCCCCTTCTCCTATATCCTCCCCTGTCCAGGACCCCTGTCCAGAACCCAGTCTTCTTCAGCTGGAAGAGGGTGCCGCTTACTCATGCAGCACTCGTGTCTACAGGTCAGCTGCCTTTCCAAATCAGAAGATAATGTTGTCATCATTCCTTTCAGCTGACATGACATGACTCATCAAGTAGGACAGCAGTTGGATGGCAGCACTGCAAGTCTGTTGTCCCTGGTGGCCAGGCACTGCTTCAGGCTGTAGAGGGAAGGCAGTGGGAAGTGGCTGAGAAGTCCCTGCAGTGAAGCAGGTGCTGTTCACTGTTGGATTGAGTGTTCTGAGAGTGGAAAGCCAGGGTGTCCATCTCGTTGCGCGTGTGGTCTCTGTGCTTTCTGTGCTTGCCGCTTGGTCTCTGGAGGAAGTGAAATTGGACGTTGCGTGTACAGAAGGACGAGCAGTACTGAGACAGTCTCTTCCCATGTGTGAGAATTTTTAAGAAAGGAAAACTCTGAAATGTGGGACCAAGGAGTGTGCCCCGACGTGGGTTGGCTGGGTGAGACTAGAAATCTGACCAGCAAGACTGTGTCTCACAATGAAATGGAGCTTCTGGTGAGTCTGGGTACAAGTGTGAGTGTGCTGGAAATTTTTCCAGCCGAAGTCCTGAGGTGGTTTTATGTGGTGACAAGAGTGAGGAGTCCTGAGAATTCTGTCCCTTACTTGAGGACTGTTTCTATGGAGCCTCAGTTTCCCCTCTAAGCGAAGGATGACTATTTCTCAGGATCATTCTGAGGAGTAAAGGAGGTGGGTGGGTGAAATCAGAGAAGCATGTTTGCTCACCTGGAAAGCTTCGGGAAGGAGGACTCAATACTGGGGACGCCATAGGCATGCGTGGCGCACCCCCTCCCCCGCCTGACTTGCCCCTTAATGCTGTGGAGCCTTCAGAGGGAGTAGCCCCAGTTCTCTCCTTGTCCCTTCAGTGTAGGTCACCTTGCAGCCAGGAGTTTCTGGTGTTGGTAAAGAATACTCTAAGGACAGGAAGTGTTGCCAGTCCCATAGGATGGTGGACTTGGGGTCCAACCCACCAGGCGGAAGGTGCATCACTGACCCAGCCATTGAGAGATCCAGCCCCTCAGTCTGGGCCTGCTGGCGAGGTTTTACATCTTGAATGGGCACACTCCTGACTCCTGAAGCACACGGAGGCATGTAGGGTTCTTGGGCTTCTACAAGGACAGGGCAGTGTGTCCTGAACTATGCTTGAGCCCAAAAGCCTCTGTCCTATTTTGTAAATTGTCAGAGGGCTCTTGTGGTTTCTGCACATCAGTCACTTTATAGCTTTCGTGGCATTTAATTTTCAGTAGTAGTTACTTGTCTGTTGTCGGCCTGCTCAGCCCTCTCCTAGCTTCAGTTTACTTTGGGTTTTTTTAGTGGACTATTATTTTACTAGAGCACCTACTCCCTAGTAGCCCTTCCTAATAAATAACTCTGTTACTCCCAGCTAATTAACGGGGCCTTAATGGACCCAGGCTATTATTTAGGCAGTTGAGATAAGCTCTAAGGTCCTACATTGAAGCTGATTGAGAAAGGGCAGCTATCCCAAGGGCCCTCGATAGGGGCTTATGCCCTAGGAGTTGTGCACAGGGGCTGGGCCCCAGCCTAGTGCAGATTTGGCTGACAGTGCAGCACAAGGGTAATACTGCAGTAACCCAGCCTCCAGGCCAGGCAGCTGCCAGGAGCGCCTGTGTTTGATCACAGCACATCCCTTTTCTTGTCACCCTGAAACCTCCTCTCCAGAGGCCCTGAGAACCACTGATTGGGCGGGGGGAAGGGAAAGCTGAGGCAGTCAGCCAGGGGCCACAGCCAGGGCTGAGGGCTCCATTCCCAGCAGGTGCGCCCCTTCCCTCCCTCTGCAGGGCCTGCCTCCCTCTGCCCTGTTTGTCTCAAGCCACAGGCTAGGTTAAACCAGGAGCCTCACTGAGGACTCTCCTGCTTCCTTTGAAGACCTGTTCCACCCTCTTCTGCAAGCCTTGCCTGCAGACTGGCCTCTGTCCCCATACCCCTCCTGCACCCCCAGCTCTGAGGATGGAACTTGCTTGGGAGTTTGGGAGGCGTGGAGACCGGACACTCTCTGCCATGGTATCTGTATCTTCTCTGTCAGGTGGAGATAATAAAATGGCTCTCAGTGAAGCAATCTATGTCACTTGGCTTGGTTCACTTTTTTTTGGCCATAATTCTGAGCAGACACAGCTTTGAAGCCCCCTTTCCCCACACCCTGCTACTGGAGTTGAACCTAGGGCCTTCTCGCTGAGCTACATCCCCAGTCCTTTTCATTTTTTATTCAAACAGAGTCTTGCTAAATCACCCAGGCTGGGCTCAAACTTGACAGTCCTCCTATCTCGGTCTCCCAGAATGCTGGGATTATAGGCTGTTCTACCACACCTAGGCTTTTTTGTTTTGTTTTTCTGTTTAAATTCTCATGCTAATGGTTTGTATAGTGGTAAATGTCCTGCCCTTAGTTTCTGGAGGCTGAGGAGAGCCTGAGGCTGGAAGATCACTGCAAGTTCAAGGCCAGCCTGGGCTACCTAGTAGGACACACACATAAAAGCATTAGACTGACTTCCAGTTAGTGGCATTCACTAGAATAGTGATGGTCCCTAATAGAACATTCAGTGATAATAAACAACCTGCTGCTTCACGCGTGCCACAGGTTCAGAACTGCTGCACTAGGATAACTAGTGCCGCTTGTGGCAGGGCAGGAGGCCTGTTTGTACTCTGCTCCTGAGAGGTGAGAAACCGCACTGTGTATGCCTGGCTGATGAGTGGCAAATTGTGATCAGAACTGGCGTTGGTCCACTTTGACTCCTCCCTGTGTTGTTCATGTGAAACCCTCATAGTCAAAGGAGAAGCAGAAGTTTCTCATGAAGCTGCTCTGTTGGATTTCCTCAGCAAGCTGGCCATCCCTGAACTGGGACAGGAGTCAGGCCTGTTCAAGGTGGGGGCTTTGAATGTGGCTGTGCTCCTGCCTTCTGGTCCCTCCCTCTGAGGCTGCCCCCTGTACCTTCCCTAGAGTACCTCGGCCCATGGAGCTGAGCACCCTGTGCAGTGTGTGCGAAGAGCTCTGAGCTTCCATCCTGTATGCAGGACTCCTCGGCGCCCCAAGACTGAGTCTCTGGTTGTTCTTTCCTTGCTTCCTTCCTTAAGATCCTCTCTTGGGTTTTACTTTGCTGTTGCTCAGAGGCCTCTCAGTTGCAGTTTGAGGGAGCCAGCTGCCCGCTGCACAGGACTGTGGCTGCTCCAGGTGGGAACGTGCTTATCTGGCCACCATCTGTCCCTGCAGGTGTCATGTGAATATCGGGGAAGCTGCTCCTAAGCAGAAATGCTCTCAGTGGTGGAGAATGGACTGGACCCCCGGGCCGCCATCGCAGTAAGTGGGCAGGGTGGGCAAGGTGGGCCCAGAAAGATGCCTTGGGAGATGAGGAGGAAAAGCAGGCTGGAGCAGATCCTACTCCCTCTAGATGGCCCTAAAACAGCACGGGGTTTTTTTGTTTGTTTGTTTTTTGAGCTAGGGTTTCACTGTAATTCAGGCTGGCCTTGTGCTCACTTTTTGTAGCCCCCAGGCTGGTCTCAAACTCCCAGAGATCCTCCTGACTCAACCTTCCGAGTTACAGGCCTCTGATTAGAGGTGTGCACCACCACATCTGGTTCCAGGGCCACATTGTAGGTACCCACATCTGGGGCCAAGACGGCTCACCCAGGCATCGGGGCTGAGACTGCACGGCATGTGGGGCCAGGGATTGAACTCAGGTCCTTGTGCTTGACAGGCAGTTGCTTATGCCTCTGAGCTATTTCCCCAGCCCAATTGCAGAGTTTTTAATAAAACAGTGTGAGGGTTTAAGGTGTGCTTCCTGGGGACCAAGCGTTTCTATTCAGACCTTCATCCTTCTGCCCTTAGGCCATGATGTGGCCACATTTTGGTCAGAGCATTGAGTTAGTCAGAACAGATATTCTGAGGTGCTGGGTTATTGATTCAGTTATGGGGTAAGTTGGTAGCTTACATCTGTCATTGAACATTGACCATTTTCCAGTGTTTTCAAACAGCTGTTGGTGACTAGTTCCCCCGAGTACTCTCTGCCCTGTGCAGGCCATGGGCTGTCTGGTGTGTTTTGGTCTGGCTCTGACCTTTCCTTGAAGTGGTGGATGGTTGGGTAGGCTTTGGGCTGTCCCTTAGTCCTGAGGTGGCCCATTGAGAAGGCAGGATTTCTCTTTCCTCCATCCACGCCCAGCTAATTCAGCTTCCTCAGAGGTGTGCCTGCCCCGGATGGCCACCAGAGGACGCAGCATTGTGTGACTGGTCCAGGACAGACAAGTCCAGAGACCTCGGGACTGACTGGCCTGACCGGCCGCTGCCACTCCCTGTTTGTCTCTCCTCCAACCCGTAATACACTGTTTCTTTTTAGTGGTGATGAAAACAGCCTAAAATTTACTGGTGAATATTGCACAGTTCTCTGAATTACTAAAAACCATTGAACTCATCACTTTAAATGAGTGCATTTGTAGTGTATAAATTATGACTCGTTGATTTTTTTTTAAGTTTATTTTAAAAATTTGACTTTCCAAAACCATAATCTCAGCACTTGGGAGGCTGAAGCCAGAGGATTGTGAGTTGGAGCCCTGCCTGGATGCAACAAAAAGAAAAAAAAAAAAAAAAACGCGAACAACAACAAAAAAAAGCCAACTTCCTTGTTTGGGATAAGTCAATATAAGAGTGAACTATTAACCCATAACCCTATTGCTCAGTTAAAATCAGTTTTCATATAGACTGCTAGATAGTGTTAGATTGTTTAGTTGAATTCAAACACCTATAGTATTTAGATGCCAATAGAATATTCACCTCTGACAGGACAAAAAAAAAGAAAAATTTAAATTTAAAAAAAAAGCAAAAAATAAATAATACAGTGAGAAAGGTGATAGAAGGAAGAAAATTTCACTTCAGTGTTCGAAACTGGTGTTTGGCCTCATGGTAGACAAGACTGCATTAATTAGCAAAAGAGTTTTGGACTAGCTACCGTGTAAATAAATGGTCTGCATTCCATAATGAGTAAAGAAAAATAATAAAATAAAATAAAATCAGTTTTCATGCAGTCCTTTCTAGTCCTTTGTCAAACATAATTTCAATGTAATTATGATTGAATAATTTTACTCTTTAATCCCAAAGGACTTTATATACATTTTGTAATGTGTTCATTTAGCCAGAGTTTACAGTTTGAGTATTTCCGTGTGCTTAATATGGAAGTTGTTTGAGGGTAGGTGGATAGATTTAAAAAACTAAATCCCAGAACTTGGGAGACAGAGGCAGGAGGATTGTTGGGGGGTTGAGACCAGTCTGAGCTAGAGTGAGCTCAAGGTCATTTGAAACTGCATAAGACCAGAGAGAGAGGGAGGGAGGGAGGAAGGGAGAGGGAGAGGGAGAGGGGGAGAGAGGGGGGGAGAGAGAGAATGAAAAAGTCTAGCCTGAGTTGGACACTGTGGTGCAAAACCTATAATCGTATCTACTTGGGTGGCTGAGACAAAAGGCTCACAAATTCCAGGTCGCCTTTCTAATTAGCGAGACCTTGTCTCAAAAATAAGGTAAAAAGGACTAGGAATATACTCAGTACTTCGTGGGTTCAGTCCTCTGTGGGTGAGGGGAGGTTTGTTCTGCCTTCAGAAGCAATGCCCCAAGTGCTGTAGTTCAGGAAGTATTATTTCCATTTAGCAGATGCAGAAATTGAGGCTCAGAAAAATTAGATAAAATTTCTGAGGTGACTAGGTTGAAACTGAATGTAGGCCATGGGCTCCCAGGATGGATGGATCAGTCAGTCTCACTCGCTAGTGCTGAAGATTAGAGCCGGGTTTCTCCCTGAGCTCCATCTCTACCCACTTGTTTGTTTTTTACTTTGAGGGAGGTTGCTCAGGCTGGGCTCAGACTTATGATTCTCTCGCCTAAGGCTCCTAGAGTGCTGAAATTACAGCCATGTACCACCATGTCCAGCTCTTAGAAGGCCTTCTCTTAGTAGCCATGCTCCTTTTCTCTTGGGGTTTTTTCAACAGGATCAGCCTTATGCGTATGTTCTAGAACTGAGCTACACACCCCTCAGCCCTTGCATATTTTTGTTTTTTCCAAAGCAGCACTTTTTACCTCTTAGCTTACTGGTTCTGTGCAGACTCTTGGTCATAATTACTCTCACCTTAACCGAAGCTCCCTAACCATTCCTAGGAGTGAAGCCACTATTGACACACCAAGTTATGTGACTATAAGTTTACCAAAGTTCTGTTTGGAAAACAAAACTTAAGGATACGCAGAATGACAATACTGTTAGTTCTCTCTGGGTGCTGTGTGACTTTCCTTTTCTTCTCTATGCAGTATCTTTGATGTAATTAAAACATGCTGGTTTGGCAGCCAAACTCTGTAGGGGATGCATGTATGGGTACATGTCCGTGGTCACAAAGGTATATGGTGATAGACTGGGGTTACTTTCTGGGGCTGTCTATAGGATTCTCTCCTGACAGCCTCCCTTTTGCTTGGAACTGCCTAGGTCATCAAGAAGAAGCTAGTGGGATCTGTGAAGGCACTGCAGAAGCAGTACGTGTCCCTGGACACAGCAGTCACGAGTGAAGATGGGGACGCCAACACCATGTGCAGTGCCCTGGAGGCTGTGTTTATCCATGGCCTGCATGCCAAGCACATCCGTGCAGAGTCTGGAGGAAAATGGAAGAAAAGTGCACACCAGAAGCCTCTGCCTCAGCCCGTCTTCTGGTCCCTCCTGAAAGCTGTCACCCACAGGTGAGATCAGCAGAGAGGTTTTGTTGGGGCAGAACCTTCCCAGTGTGGGACCCTTGGCTCTTTCTCCCTAGCTGTGGAGACCAACAGGTAGCTGCTTCTTGCACAGAGGCGGAGTGAGGTAGAGCAGGCATGTCCTATGGAAAGGGCTGTCTCCAAACCGCACTTCCCCAACAGCAACTTGATCCAGGACCCTCAGCACTCAGGCTGTTCCACAGCCCAGGGCCAGTGAGCTTCAGACCAGCTTCGCAGAACAAGGTAGATTCCATGTGGCCTGCAAAGCCTGAAGTATTTACTCTCTGGCCCTTTACAGAAGCTTGCTGACCCTGACTATTGAAACGTTCCTATTCTCAATGTTATAATGAAGCAAGGTATTTTGTTTTTTAACCAGAGTGGAGTCCAGGTAGACTTGTCAACTGAGACCCTTGTCTTTGGCTTTGTCCCAGCTACCTAGGCTTCTGAAAGGGATTATACACTAAGGGCTCTTAAGTGCCATTATACACTAAGGGCTCTTAAGTGCCACTTTCAGCCCAAAGGTATTTTACACTAAGGGCTCTTAAGTGCCACTTTCAGCCCAAAGGTATTTTATCAGCCTCTGACTCTCCCTCTGTACTCTTTGCCATTGCCGCATCTCAGGTCCTTACTTTTCTCCTGGGCAATGGTGGCTTTTTAATTCTTCCCATATTGTACTATCTTCTTTCGGTCAGTTAGCTGCTTGACACTCACTGAGCTTCAGCAGCTGCCTCGGAGAATAGACTGCATTGCCCCTAGACCTAGGCACAGGTCTCATGGGCAGACTGGTACTCGTGCCAGCTGGTGGGATCTGAGTCAAGCCTATGCAAAGCATCTGCTCTGCTGTGTACTTGGCTGTGGTCAGGTCACTTTCCTGTATAGAAATCTGTAACTCCAACTTGCTCCCTGGAGTTCAAGTCAACCAGAGCCCCTAAGTCTGCATCCTGATAAATTCCACAGAGGCTTTTGTTATGTTTTTCCTCTACTTGTTCTGGTTCGAGTACTCCACACTCCTGTTACAGACTTTCATACCCCTTGTTTTCCTACCCTTTATGCCTTATTTCTGTTAGTCTGCTGTGCCTCGAAATTACACTAAGCCACATCCCCATACCCAGGGATTGAACCTAGGGCTTTCCCAGTGAACTATATCCTCAGCCTTTTTTTGAGACAGGGTCTTGCTATGTAGTTCAGGCTGGAATTGGACTTTCGGTGTAGCCCAGGGTAGTCTTGAACTCGAAGCAGTCCTGCCTCAGCTTCTCAAGTGCTAGGGTCATGGGCATGCACCACCATGCCTGGCTCCTCAGCCCATTTTTTTCCCTCATTTCTCCAACCCTACCACCCCATATTGTATTTTATGGTACGATCTTGCTCAATCACTCAGACTGGGTTCAAATTTGGCACTTCTGCCCCAGCCTCGTACAGTGTTGGGGTTACAGATGTATACCACCATCCCAGGCTCATTTTTGCTTCTTGAGATCCTTGAGGCCCCATATGCTTTCTGTGGCATTTTCCATACTCCAGCCCAGATGTGATGGCCCAGCCCCTATACCATTTCCACCAACAGAGGAGCTGACTCCATGGGTCCATGAATAGCAGTAACGTGGGCTTAGGGGTGCGGCTCAGTGGTGGAACCCTTGCCTAGTGTGCTCAAGGTCCTGGGGTCGTCTGCATCAGCACACACAGAAGGAAGGCCCTGCCCGGGCCCAGCACAGGGATCATGCTATCTCTGTAGCGTCCCTGCTCTAAAGTCTTGGGATTCGGCACACACATCTGGTCAGCAGATGACAGCAGTGATAGCAGGGAGTTGTAATGAACATGACAATTACCCTAATGACTCCAACCTCAGAGGGCTGGAGAGTACAGCCTAACATTTCTGTACTTCCCTTGAAGTACCATCTTAAAGGACTTCTTAGTCCCTACGTACGTTTGCCCGTCACCAGTGGTTCTTGCTAACTAGTGAATAAAGTAGTTCTCAATGATCTGAGGCAGTTTCTGAAGCAAGTCTGCTCTGCCCTCCCAGACACATCATCTCGGACCTCGAGCGCCTGGCCTTTGTCAACACGGATGTGGGCCGCTGCCGGGCCTGGCTGCGGCTGGCCCTCAACGACGGCCTGCTGGAGTGCTACCTGAAGCTGCTCCTACAGGAGCAGGTGCGGCTCTGCGAGTACTACCAGCCCACAGCGCTGCTGCGTGACACCGAGGAGGCTGAGTTCCTCCTGAGCTTCCTGCAGGGACTCACATCCCTGTCCTTCGAGCTCTCTTACAAGTCCGCCATCCTAAACGAATGGACGCTCACCCCGCTGGCCCTCTCAGGGCTTTGCCCACTCTCAGAGCTCGACCCTCTCCCTACCTCTAGTGTAGAACTCCAGCGTAAAGAGTCTCTGGATTCCATTTCCCACTCCTCAGGCTCAGAGGACATTGAGGTCCAGCACTCGGGCCATAAGATACGGCGGCACAGGAAGCTCACAGCCTCCTCACTCAGCCTGGACACAGCCAGTTCCTCGCAACTGTCCTGTAGCCTGAACTCTGACAGCTGCCTGCTCCAAGAGAATGGCTCCAAGAGTCCAGACCGCTCCGAGGAGCCCATGTCCTACGACTCCGACCTGGGAACAGCTAATGCTGATGATTCTGACCAGTCCTTGCAGGAGTGAGTACCTCTCTCTAGCCCGCCTGCCTGCCTTTCTCAGTTTCCTTTCCTTTTTTATTTCCTCCTCTCTGTGTACGTGCGTTAGGTACAGCATCAAAGCAGACATGCACAGTCCAGGGTGTGGAGTTTCTGAGATCTGTGACGGGAGCATGGCACGGTGCTGTGGGTGCAGAAGGGCTCAGGCCTGGCATGACAACTCCAGCTGTGCCTGGCTACCCTGAACAAGCCAGATCCCAGCTTCCCTTTCTTTCTTTCTCTCCTTGTGAACATAATTATTAATTTCTTGTGTATTCTTCCAAAGTCTGTAAGTACGTCTGTAACAAACATCAGCATACTACATGTTTTCAAACTTCATTTCTTACCCTCCTTTTTGTGTATGTAGTTTATGTACCTTGTCTGGAATTTGTTTTGGTGGAAATCTTTTTATAGCAGAGCATCTTCATTGTTTTTTGGTTTTTGTTTTTCTATTACATAGGTCTCGGTTGCAGGAATGTGTCTTAGTTTATTTAATCAGACATATTTAATGAGCATTAGAGTTCATTGTTTCCATAAATCACCTTTTATATGTTGCCTTTTAATTTTATGTAAGTATCTCAGTTCAGTAAACTGCCAGAAGCAAAATTGCTGAACCAAAGGCTGGATGAATTTCTCATTTCAGACACTGCCTATGTGGACTGCAAGCAGCATGTACCCCTGTCTGCCTAGCCTTACCATTAGGAAGCTTTATCAAACTTTATCTGTTTTCTCATCTCACGGGTGAAAGCGGTGAGCTTTGCTGCAGCCTCCCTCAGTTGAGCCCTTGATCCATCTGCCTGTGTCTTCCCTCGTGTGCTGCTCCTTCGCCCTGCCTGAATCCTGGTCCTCCCAGAGCCTGTTGCAGCCCTGGCTCCACAGTGTCAGGCAGATTACCAAAGCTCAGTCTCTTCCTCTTTAATGGGAGAAGCCTTGCTGGGCTGACTGAGGAGCAAATCCAGTGCCCAGTGAGTGCACACCTAGGAGTGGCCCTAAGCGCTGGGCCTGGGCAACAGCATCTCAGCAGCTGGGTAGAAGAATAGAGACGGTGTGCAGGCCGGGCCTGCAGCATGGCCAGCTTGCTGTTCCTCCCAGCCCTTCGCGTGTCTCCATCCCCTCTGCAGACTTCCAGCTGCTCCTCGTCCTTTGAAGCTTTATCTGCATGAGCCCTGTGGCTAGAAACGTCCCACATGAGGTCACTGAACCAGTAGTCCTCCTCCTGTGGGAAGCATTGCCCTGAGTGTTAGGGGGGTTGCAGAGTGGAGGCTCAGAACATGCGTGAGGAGCTGAGTGCTGGGCGGCGTGACAGCTCGTGACACTAGACACCATGTACACAAGCACATGTCCGCATAGCCTGTCCTGGATTGGGCCCCTACAGGTAGGCTTTGAGTATTGCAGAGATTAACATTTCTTGAAATGCATATTTTAAATTCAGAGATTCTCACCACTACTTAAAGTTTGCTTTTTTTTTATTGATCATAGACTACTTAAATATTTGTAATTCAAAACTACATACTCTGTGCTTGTTGTTACAAATATAAAACCAGTGTTTGCAAGCCAGGCCTGGTGGGATTATACTCCTGTAGTCCCAGCACTCTTGAGAGGGTGAGGCAGAAGGTTCCCAAATTCAAAGCCAACCTTAGCAATTTGGCAAGTCCCTGTCTAAAAATTAAAAATAAGGGCTTGGCATATAGCCCAGTAGTAGAACACCTTTACCTTCAATCCCCAATACTGGGGGAAAAAAAATTTCTGGTAGATTAAGATTAATTTGTAATTAATTTATGTAAGTGTCATGTTTTTGTAATGCCATTATTTTCACACTTTGGCTTTTTCCTCTGTATTTTCATATTTATGTGTGGTGGCTGAGTCATCTCATCAGTGGTGTGCATAGCCAGTATAATGTCCAGTTGAAGGTCTGCAGGGGCTGTGACCCAGACAACCCTGAGCGTTCTGCCAGGGCATCTGTGTGGACTTTGTCACAGTCGGAAAAAGCAGTGTTAGGGTAAGCCAGATAGCTCAGCAGACTAAAGCGCCTGCTTAGGCAGATGCAGGGACCAGGGTTCAAGCCCCAGCATGCAGTACCAGCCCTGCCCCTGGGGCATGCTCAGACAACAACCGAGACTGGGCTTGGTGGTGCCCTGTAATCCCAGCACTTGGGAGGCTGAAAACAGGAGGATCACTGCGAGTTTGATCTGTGAAGTGAGACCCTATACTAAGCAGGGAGAGAGAGAGAGAGATCTGTAAAGTACAAAGCCTGGGTGGGGTGGGGCCAGATGAAGTGGGGCCTACCCACAAGGCACTGGATTCCCATGTCCCCTGCTAGAAGCTGCCTCCCTGGCTCCTCCAGGAGTCCCCATTCTGTCCCTAAAATTTGACTATGCCCACTGGTTGGCAAATGTTCTCCTCCCCATCTATGTAAACAAGGCTTTGGTTTCCAGAATTAACATTTCTCATCCCTGCAAGTTGCACACTTAGATTTTTTGTTTATCTGTTTTTACAGTGAGACTTTAAAGCAAATACCAGTACTTGCCAGCTTCCCTCATAACTGTACCTTTGTACCTTTCCTGATTGGTCACTTTTATCAACACAGAATTGATACACCATTAAATTCACCATTAGTGGGGCTGGTGAGATGGCTCAGTGGTCTAAAGCACCTACTTAGAACAAACTTAGCAAATCACAGGGACCGC